TCAGCAGTGACCTGGCTATGAAACTCATCAGAGCTCTGAAAGACCAGCTGAGCTCCTCACCGTTGCCTGTGCCAGCTTCTTTGCTGTGTTCTCTCTGCTGATGAGCTCTGAATTCTCAGGATGACTAAGGGAGGATGCAAGCCAGTTGTGCTGGCCCTGCTGTGGTGAAAAAGGACTCAAAGCAGTGAAATCTCAAACTGGCAACTGCCTGGATGGGCATCAGGGAGCAGATCCTGCCTTCTGCTGCTTTTCCTGGTGGTGTCCTGAGGGAGAGAGCCCTCCCAGCTAAGCCTGCATAGCTCTGGGCTCAGCAGTGCTTGTCTGTCCACATCACCTGCACTGCACCAGTTCGTTCCCCTTGGGCCCACACAAAGCTTGGCAGTACTCCAGGATGTAGGTTGCTACGTGCATATGCTATGTGGATTTTCAGAACATAGATACACATAAAATAAGACAGAAACAGCCTTTTGCAGTCTTAGCTTGGCTGCTCCAGGCGTCCTGTGGTAGCTGCTCTCGAGGCCAGCCAAGGTGAACTCAGCTGAACATTAATTACCAGCATCTCTCCCTGCTCCCTGGGAAATTTGGAGACACCCCTGCTCCTGTGGCCTGGACTGGTGTTAGCACAGGCATTAAGCCTTCCTTCTGAGCAGGATGCCCTCCTGCCTGAAGCTCGAGCATCATTTGTCACCAGGCTGCTCTGTTCCCTCACAGTGTGATGCCAGCTGTGGGCGTGGGATGAAGACCCGGCTGGTGCTGTGCGTGGGCCTGGAGAACGGGCTGTACAGGGAGTACCCTGAGAAACGCTGCGAGACCTCTCCAAAACCTGAGGAACAAGCTGCCTGTTTCAGGAGGCCCTGTTCAACGTGGTTCACCACCTCCTGGTCCCAGGTAGGGCTGGGAAAGGGGCAGGGGAGGCATTGTAGCCCTAGTTGGTGGAGCAGGACCTATGCTGAGGCTCTCTGGAAGCCTGCTCTGCCAAGGACCTGCCAAGTCTGGATGGAACCCCAAGTTCTGCTCTTCTGCAGAACAGACAGCAGGATGAGAGACTGGCACATGCAGGCTGGAGAAAGACTTGGAGCATGGGGGTTATTGCCTCAAGAAGAGCGTGCACTACCCTCCAGGCCTGCAGGATACACTGGTGTCTCCTCCACTGCTAGGAGTCCATGCTTTGCCTTTCCCTTAATAGTAACTGGTGAACCTTTAGGGTATGGGAAGACTGGGGAGCTGTGTCTAGCTTATAGCAGCCATTTTCTCCATTTTCTGTCACAGCATCAATGCTCCAAACAAAAATAGTTCTGAGCTGCAACAAAGAGATGAAAAGCAAATTCTCCCTTGTTCTGCCCCAACCCCAATTCAGGGATGCTTTCCTCCAGCAAAAAAAAAAAGGGAGAGTAAGTTTGAGATCAGTGTGCCAATTTGACCCAAATCTCCTCAAGAGCAGGGATACAAAGCAGGGATTGGGAGACCCCACTAGAGCAAAGAACTTGGGAGCTATAGAAAAACAGAAAATGCCTCTCATACTCTTTGCTGTTTCTTGACCCTGACAGTGCAGCAAGACGTGTGGAGCTGGCGTGCGACTGCGGGAGGTGAAGTGCTACCAGGGGGAAGCGCTGGCTCAGGGCTGTGACCCCTCTGCCAAACCAGAGGCCAGGCAGACGTGCCAACTCCAGCCATGCCCCACAGAGGCACCAGGTACATCTGGGAGGGCAGGGAGGTGGAGGAGCCCTTGGCTTTGTCTGAGATGTCCATGCTGGGGAAGCACATCTCCTTTGTAACCCCTTCTGTGTGTGCTTCTGCTCCCCAGAAGATGCCTGTGAAGATAAAGCAACAGCCAACTGCGTGCTGGTGCTGAAGGTGAAGCTGTGCTCGCACTGGTACTACAGGAAGGCCTGCTGCTGGTCCTGTCGCCTCAAGTCACCCTGAGTGCTGCCAGGCCCTACTTTCCTTCCAAGTTCAGGGGCAGCAGCCCCCTCGAGCCAGACTTTCCACTTGAAGCCACCCCACTTGGCTTGGCTGTGGAGCCAGTCCCTGTAGAGCAGCCTGCTCAGCGAGGAAGGATTCCTACAACTTAGTCATCACTGCTCCCTCTTCACCGAGAGGGCTTCACACAAGACAAACCGTCAGTGCCTAGAAAGCTACTGAGGAGTGAGTTGGGAGAGCCTGTCCCTGTTGCCACCGTCTCTGAGGGCACCAAGGCCAGCCTGCAGCAGGGCAGGGAGAGCAGCATCCCTCTGCTCTGCCCTGCAGGCTTCCTACTACAAGGGCAGCTGCCAAAACACACTGAAAAATTGTGTCACAATAAAGAGATAAACTATAAAACTGGATTTGGGATGCATGTGCCTAGGATGCAGAGCCAAGGGAGGAGCAGGGGACACAGGAGGAGCAAAAGCAGGAGCAGGAAGGGTGGGGAGGAAAAATCCCTGCACCAGTAGAGCTTCCAGGCAGCACTGGATAAAGCCCTTTTGGTGTTGTCTGCCAAAAGAACAGAAACCACTCCTGGTTTGTATTTCAAAGTCCTCATTTATTTCTGACATTGAATTTGGACCCATAGCTGAGCAACAAAGACAGAGAATAGTAACAGGAGGAATCTCAAGTGGAAAAAAATCTGGGATCCCTGCCCCTACCCCATCCTGTTCTTCCACCAGCTCCCAAACCTTCTAATTCTCAGCTGTATCCCCTGTGTTTCCAGCCCTTCCAGACTCACCCATTTCCCTGTAGCCGTGCCAGAGCCAGGGTGTGTGTTGGCTCTGAGGCCAACCCTCATCTTGGCCATCTGGCTGCTCTGGAATTGCCTCCCCAGCCTTGGCGCCTCGTTAGCCCGAGACAGGTCACGCTCAATTTGCTTGTGACGAAGATGACAATGGAGTGGCCTTCCTTCAGCCACAAGGGTGACCCACAGAAGTGTTATTCCCACCCTCTGGAGGTCACAGCAATGCTGTGGTGGTGGGAAGCCTTTTTGTGTGCCAAGAGGTAGAGTTGGATGCTGGGAGCCACTGTGTCCGTGTGCTGGCTCTGTGCCCGCCAAGGAGACGGCATCACGAGGCCGTCTGGCAGAGACCACGCTGGGACACGTTAACTTCTCGTGGCTCCCAGCATGACGAGACCTAGCTGAGCAGATGCTCTAGTGGGAAAGAATGGGATTTATCGAGTTAGCCAAGATTTTCTTCCAGTTCCAGACCATGTTTTCAGGGAGGAGTGCTGGCTGTATGGGAGGCAGCAGGAGCTACAGACTACTGACCAGCAGGATCCAGAGAGCTTTGCTGCTGGTAACTTTCATCTTCCCTCCTGCCTGCCCTTAATGTGAGAGGACATTAACACCTATCACTATTTGGAGGATGGAAAGGATGTAAAAGCGATGCAGCCAGACCGAGTCTCCAGATAATGGAAATGCAATGTCTTTTTGGGCTGGAGGTGAGGGAGATGGTGCATAACATTTGCTCAGAAAGTGTGTGTAAAATGCAGGCTGGGGCAAGGTGTTTGGTTACAAGGACCATCACCATGTTTTGTCTGGCTCCTTTCTTCAGATCAGAGGTGCCAAGGCATGGGCAGGTCCAATGTGTACATCAGCCTTTTGCCTGGTAACGTGGATATTCGAGGCTGGTGCACCCTGTGTCTCTGTGCTGAGACCTACTTTTTCTGTGTGTGAGTGGGGAGGTCAAGTCCAAACCCTTCTGTGAGCAGCGGGATGATTTCTAAATTGCAGTGGTGAAAATAAAACCCCACCACACACATTTCTGAGCAGTCCTGCCCTATATTGCAAAGGCATGGCAAGGGTTTCCTGCCACTGCCTCCAACAGCCTCCACAGGGATCATTGATGTCCCAGTCCCTCCTCCCTGCCATGAATGGGAAGTGCTCAGCAAAGCAGTCCTGCACTGGTTGCTATGGAAGTGCCTGGGAATGATGGAGATGTCCCTTTAGTAATTTTTCACCTAATCTGATTTATGGAGGAAAAAGAAACTTTCCCACATTCATTTCTGCAGAAAGGCAGAGTCACTGGCTGTCACTGCTGGCTGCAGTGCCAGTGAACCCACATCTACAAGGTGTTCAAGACACATTTGGGTCTTGCACCCTCTTCTTCCAGAAGCAAAAGCAGAGGGACCCCAACCACCTGAACACCACTCTCCAGTGGGAGGGCTCTGCGAAGGAGATACGAGCCAGTGGGCTCTGCTGTTGCAGAATCCATCCTAAAAGCAAAATCCATCCTAAAGCCAACCTTCCTCTGGCCATCAGAGCTGTCAGGGTGGGGCTTTGAAAGCTGAAGGTGACCAAAACTGCAGTTATTTAAGAATTCAATTCTTCCCATAAGTAAAACCTTTCCATATTCATGGGTCCAAGTTAAAACTGCTCCTAAGAAAGCTTGTGAAGAGTAGAAGAGGTGAGGGCTTTGGCGTGGGTGAGCACTTTTGCGAGGACCTTTGCCTCCCCCATCAGTGACCTAAATTCATGTCCTGAACTCTTTCAGCACGTGAGAAGCAGGTGGGAGAAGGTGCCCTATCTTACACTTGAACAGAAAAGCAAACTGCCAGTGGCTACTGACGCAGTACGAGGAGAGCAGGATGACCTGGATCTTCCCTTCTTCACTTGCCCATGGCCGAGGAGCGCTGCCGTGCCCTGCTCGGCACTGGGACTCAGCGGGGATGGCAGCTGGCACCATCGCTCCATGTGCGTCACCTGCGGTGGCTGTGTGGGGACACCGAAGGCCTCACTGGGCTCAGCGAGCCGGGGGTAATTAAATTAGGTTGTACTGTACATAGCCCTCGTTAGACAAGTCCCTTTGGGAGAGAGAGTAGATAATAATGACACTTATGATGGGTTCGGAGGTGGCCGGTTCAACGTTGCCCTTTGAGGTCTCTCTCGCCTTCTGGCCCGCGAGGCCTGGCCGTGCCGTGCTCAGCAGGACCCTGCTGGCCTCGGGCTGGGCTACGGGCTCCTCTCCTCAAAAACAAGCGAAAAGCCCCTTCCCTGGAGCGGGCGCCGGCTGGGGACACCCTGTGCTAGCGGCAATGGTGACTACACCTCCGTGCTGATGGCCCGCGGGTTCGGGAAGCTGTCGCGCAGCAGGCCGTGCCGGCTCACCGTGTAGCTTTGCAGGGCGGCCATGTTGAGGGGCGGCCCCATCTCCTTGCAGCACGCGGGGGTGTAGGCGAGCCTCTCGCCCCCGTTGCGCACCATGTCGGCAGTCCGGATGTAAAAGGGGGAGCCGTACGGGGAGCAGGTCGGGCAGAAGGTGTGAGGCCCGTGCTGGCTGAGCTCGCTGGGCGGCGCGGGGCTGCCCTGCCCGTCCACCATGCGGGAGCTGCAGGCGTTGCACATGACGAGATGGGAGTGTGTGGGAAGGTCGGGCTCTTCCTCTTCCTCCTCCTCCTCCTCCTCCTCTTCCTCATCGCAGTCATTTTTCTTGCAGCAGTAGTACTGCGGGAAGGGAAGGGGTTGTATGAGGGGAAGCGGAGCAGCTCTGCCACATCCCCGCTCCCCTCATCCCGCTGCCTGAGGATCCCTCAGGGGCCTCTTGCTGATCCGCTCCAGCATTCCTGGGTCCTGTGAAGCGGCAGAAGCCAGACAAAACCTGGACCCGAGCATGCTGCTCCTTCTGGGGAACTCACCCTCCTCCCCCTGCGAGGTTTGCAAGGGGAAGGAAGGGATTTAATCCTGCCGCTTGAAAACTGCTCCAAGTAAGCGCTGTGCTCTTCGTCACACGGGCATTGCTGCATGGCACAGACTTCACATTAACTTTTAAAGAGCAGGAGGTCGTAGCTAGCCCTTGTTGAAAGCCTCCTCGGTTAATTTACAAGTGGGAGAAAAAAATTATATAAAAATCTCCATCTGGTATTGCAAACCTAGCCAAGCCTGCACCTCAATTAGCAAGTTCTGCAGAGCCTCAAAAGCCTCAGGGCAGTACCCCCCACACCTAGGGGAGGGAAGGACATAATTGGGGGATAGGAGGTTTAAATTCCCTGCCATCACAGGCAAAAAAAAAAAAAAAAAAAAAAAGCCCATCCCACCTTGGCCTGGGGAACACAGAATCATAAAATATCCTGAGCTGGAAAGATCAAGTCCAACTCCTGGCCCTGCACAGGACAGCCCAAAAATTACATCATGTGCCTGAAGAGTATTGTCCAAGCACTTCTTAAGCTCTGGGAGGCTTGGGGCTGTGACCACTGCCCTGGGGAGCCCGTTCCAGTGCCAGGTGGGGGTGGCAAGGCAGAGGACACTCACCTGTAGCCTACAGTAGCAGAGCACAGCAATGATGCACAGTAGGATCACCGTCGCTAGGATTCCCCCGGTGATAACAACAGTTCCCGCTGTCATCCGACCGATTCTCCATCAAACTCTGGAAGGCAGGGACACAAAACTCACCTTCCCTGGTTTTGTCATCACATCATGGAAGTGATGCCCACAAGTCATCCCAAAATATTGCATCCTCATTCCTCTCTCCCCAGCTGGAAAAGTATCATCCAATATTATCCTCCTTCTTCTCTTAGTGAGAGGACACCTGAGATGCAGCATCACATCCCCTCAATGTTATTGCTGCTCTGGCTTGGGCTCTTTGTCAAACACCCCACAGCCCACTGGAAAAACCTCACCCTTACTGAGCCAAAAGGGATGATTTCCACCCTCCCAGCAGAAAATCCAGCTTATACTTCAAAATGCAGGAACAAACCTGGGCTTTTCATCAGGCAAAGCCAAAAAAGAGCCTCTGAACTCCACAACAGTCTGAGCCCAAAAATTGCACCCTGTCTGCCTGTCAGGCACTTACAAGGCTAAGCAGCCCTCACCCCCGTCTCTGTGCCACGGCACCTGGGGATACTCACGTTCAGTGACGGAGGCGTTGGACCTGGAAGAAGTGGAGGGAGAGGTTAGAGTGGTCTGACAGCACCCTTTGCACCTGCCTGCCTTTCCCCATTTCCCAAGAATGTGCCTTGATTTGGCATCTGTGGGAAGCCCTGCTTCACCCCCGTGTGAATTTCTTTAATTTGAAGCAGGGAAAGGATGCATTTCCCAAGCTTGGAGCAATGTTCTACAGGAACAGGGCACAGGCCTGGCTTAGTCAGCACTTGGCCTTTTCCACTTTAAAATTTATTACAAGGAAGGCGGATGCATCATCACAACGATGTTTTAGGTGCTGCTGGGAAATGAAATCTCTCCTCCATCCCCTCCAGGACAGGGGAGCTCCAGCATCCCCCCACCACCCCATGGATACTTACCCGGAAAAGGACAGGCAGGACGTCACGGTCACGCTGGCCCCGGGCCGTACGGTGGGGACAGGCAGCACCACATGGCCACGGGGACACTCAGCAGCCCTGGCAGGGAGAACAAGGAGAAAAACTCCACCATCAGCTCATCCCCCTCCCCAAAGGGGCTGCCCAGTGTCCCCATCCCCACCAGTGTCACTGCAGCGGGGCTAAATAAGATGCTTTTTTTTTAAGGAGACTGCCGGAAAAGGTGGGTGCTGCAAAGCTGGGTAAAGCAAACTGCCTGGAAAGGATGATCCCATGCCCCAAATCTGCTGTTTCACCAAAACTGAGGACCGGTAGCAAGAAGTGGGTGCAGCCATCACCCCATCACCCCCCACCCTCCCGGCGATGCCCAGCGCAGCCGCATTTCATTACTGGCCCTGCGTCCCTCTGTGCCTCGTCCAGAGCAGGGATAATTGATAGGGCCCAAGTGCCAGCCCGTTGCAGCTGAGGAGATCTAATTACCCACTCACCACGCAGCCCTAATTAACGGAGAGAGGTGGCAGCTTCCAGACGAGACCTTCCCAACTCTGCCCTGGCCCCTCTCTGCTGCACGTCCCAGCAGGCACAGTGTGGAACCTTCCTCCCCAAAAATCACCCACCCTCCTCACTCTGCTGTGGTGGTTTGCACATCCTGCCTGCCACAAATTGATTTTCAGCTCATGGGAAGTTCCTGTAGGAAGCCAAAAGGTGGGCACGCATTGGATTTCCTCCTTGAGCCGCTCTCACACACAAAATAAAGGAAAAAAAAAAAACCAACAAAGAAATCAATATGTCCATAACCCAGCTAATATCTCCATCCATCAGGAGACACGGAACAGAGCTAATAATAGAGACCAACACACTCATCTCCTGCTCCCTGTTACCAAACCGCACCCTGAACTGCTGCCAGGAGTGTGAGGGGACACACAGGCAGCCTTTGGTGCAGTTGTCACCTCCCCAGGTGCCTTCCTTAACAGGGAGAAGGTGACAGTGGGTGGCTGCAAATGGCAAACACTGACCTTTGGTGACCCCAAGAGGGACACGCCGCAAGCTGGGCGGTGATGGATGATACAGGCAGCTGTTCACGTCCAGAAAACTTCATTTCATGGGAGTGTGATTTGATTTAGAGCTCAGAGAGCAGCATCCAATTAGCCTGAGGATTGGAGTGAGCAGGCAGCCCTGGAGAATGACCCTGGGCAAGGAGGGATCAGACTTGGGGATCCTTTGGTCACCTCTGAGGTCTGAGTGTCTCAGAGGATGGCTGGGCTTCCACATGCCCCATCTCTGGTATTCCCATTCCTGAGAATGCTGGGATCAGCATTTCACTAGCCCTGCTCAGGAACTGGGCCCTTATTAAAATAGTGAATGTTAAACAAAGGCAAAAATGAAAGTGAAGCACAAGAGAAGCGCTGTCTTTCCTCTTCTCTTTGGAGGGGGTGTTTTTCAAAAGGAGGAAGTTCCTGCCCTTCTCCCCTTCCCCAAACCCAGCCCACCAGCAGTGCAGAAGTTCACTTTTTCTACCGAGTTTGTGCCTATTAAAATAGCTTTCTCTAGCCCACAGCTCTCTCCTGCATGGATGAAGAAGGGAATGTAACACCTCTCAGGGAAGGAGCAAGAGCCACAGTCTCAGGAGTAACTGGGGTTTTGGGAATTACAAAATAAATTATGTCCAGAAAGAGGGAGGACAACTACAGCAGCCTTTTCACATCTCTGCCACCAGCCCATACCTGTTTCCATCCACCCTTCCTAAACACATCCCAACCTGCTGGGAAAGGAGCAGTTTGGGCTCTACTCGCTCAGCTCCACACAGCCCCACTGCTCCATCCCAACAAAAGGCCATACATTTGTATGGATCCTGTAACAGCCTGGGCTGCACTGTGAGCTGAGCTGTCCTGGAGCAGGACAGGGCACAGAGGCATCCCAGGGGGATGCACAAATCCAGTTCCCTGAGGCACAGTCCCATTTCTCCTTCTGGCTTAAAAAGGGAGTCGAGAGTTGTTTAAATGTTTAAATATCCCAGGTGGAGCAGATGCCTTGGCACTCGCTGCTCACCTGCTCCCGGATGGCTCAGGAGAGGCAACAACCCAAGGGTGCTGTGGGGACCCTCTGGCACACAAATCACCTGTACAAAATCAGGATTTATACATCTTCTTTAACTGATGTTGCCTCACAGCGCAAAGTTACAGCCTCAAAAGTGACTCTGAGAACGAGTGGCATCTCAGGCTTCTATATCTATTCTCCTTCAGTGACATCCATAGCAGATTTGCATGGTTTGCAAGTCGGTGGCAAGGTTTTTGCCAGCCACCAGCACTCCCAACCCAGCTGAGACACTCCTGTCCTTACTCACCCTGGGTGTCCCTGCAGCCTCGAGCTCATCCCTGCCACCCCGCGGGGGTCAAACACTCAGAGCAGAGCTCGGGAGCAGGTTGAGGCTGGGGCAGGGCATGGTTACACACCACGAGCATCATGCTGAACCTTGCCATGAGTCCTGCCCCGACCCAGGCTCTGCTCTCCTGGTTTTGCTCTGCAGCTCACGGGATAATTCAATGAAATGTCTGCCTGGTAAATTATCCCAGCCGCTGCCTCACCAGAGTCATCTCCCAGGGCCTAATTGGAAAAAACCAGCATCAGGGGCTGCCTTTTCAAAACAGATCATGGCAGCAAACAACAGGGCAGCTCTCAGGCAGCTGTGACCTGCCCCGCAAGATTCAGGGGGATCAACCCTCTGCTGCAAACCCCCAGGATGGGTGCTCAGGCAAAGCTGGGGTCCCCCAAACTCCCTGCATGTCAGGTGCTCTGTGCTGCAAAGTATGAGGGGACAAACTGAGCCACAGGGGAGCAGGGCCAAGGAGACCCCACCATACAAACGAGCCAAGCTAAATGAAATTTTACCTGGAGCAATGTGGGATGCAGCTGGCAGCCCCCCAGTAGCCTCCCTCTGCTCCCAGTGCTCGCCCCTAGGCTTCCTTCCCAAGTGACAAACCCCTGGGTCACTGTGAAGCTGAATCAGCTGAACCTGCTGCTGGTTCTGCCAGAGTTACACTGGAGTCTGCACCAGTCTGCAGACAGAAATCAGAGCAGCAGTTGGGAAAACTTTTATTTTTGCCTGCTGCAGAGAACTCCAAGTAAGGTTTTACCCAGCAGAAAGGGTGTTTCGTGTGACCCATTTCCTTCCCGAGGCTTTTTTCCTGCTGTGATGTGGTGCCTTGAGCCACCTGGGGTTTTCCCAGCAGTTTTGCTGCAGCCAACACCCTGCTCCCAGCTACCACAAGGGCAGCCAGGTCACAGAGGTGACACTGTCCCCCAGCTGAGTGGGACTGGCAGTGAGTCACAGCCAGTCATCAAAACCAAAAAGTCTGTGCCCTGCTGCAAGTCTGCTCTTGCTTTCCCTCCACCACCTGGGCCAGCTTCCCAAGGCTCCCCATTGCCTCTTCCCAGCCCAAGGATGGGAAAGACAAAATACCAACAAGGATGCAAAACCAGCTCTTTTCTTGCAAAAGCTTTGTGGAAAAGGCATGATATTAATCACAAGTAAAAAAAAATCAAACACCTTCGGTGGTGGAAGCTGCCAGACAGACCCCAGCTCACAGGTGGGCATGAAAGGCTGCACTTCTGCTTTAGCACTGTGCTCCTGACCCTCTGAGCCCAGGAGATCCCTTGTCCTGGCCACCAAACTCTGCCAAAAACCACCTTCTTGCCCATCCAGGTTCACTGCCTCCCTCACTGTGCCTCATCCTGCCCTGTGGGAGCCCAGGGGAACTTCCCTGCCAACAATTTGTCCTTACAGCCACAAAGGACCAAGCATCCCCCTCTGATCTCTGTCCAGGTGTGTGATCCCTGGAACATCCTGGGACCAGCTGGCACATCTGCACTCCTCTCCCTGGGATACCTCCCAGTGCTTCTCAGACTTCTGGAGGAAGGGCAGCTTTGCAGGCTGGGATGTCTCAGGCACGGATTATCTGGTATCTTGTTACTTGGGCACCTCATCTGCCCTATATCTCCTTAAGTGACTATTCAGATCCCATCTCGCCTGCCTGCGTGGATTAACTGCAGCCGTGGATACGACAGAGGGACACAGAAGGGGCTGACACCCCACCCTGTCCCCAGAAA